ACCTGCTACAGCAGGTGGGCGATACCGGCCAGGGGTCAGCCGGTAGCATCAGGACCGAGCTTCTTCGATGGGCCAGTCACTGTGCCTCCCCTCCGGTCCCCTCCCCCTATGAACATCAGCAGTCTCTGCTCAATGCCACTCGGGGGGACCAACGGCATATCTCTAGGTGGCAGGCGCCAAGCTTGCCCAGGAAGGTACATGAGGCCAATGGGGATTGAACCCAGAACCTCCTGAATGCCACTTGCGTGCCTTACCAACTGAGCTAGGCCGCTGGATTCACTTCACTTTCTCGTTTTAACCATCTGCTTTTTGTTTTGTTGTGTTTTTCTTGTAATTTACTAATTTCTCTATTTATAACGTTTTTGCAAATTCAACTAATCAATTACCATGGTTTTATAAAGTTTGTGGAACTTGGGCGGATCATGAAGGTAGTCCCTGACGTACAAGAGCGCGTCCATGGGATTCAGACGTGAAGCGTCTGCTCTTCGAGCCGTAAGGTTGCCACCGCATACTCCAAAAGATCTTGTGGCTAAGGAAAGCTACTCCTTTCGGCACATGGGTAATATGGGTTTTGTCCATACTCGATGTTAATTGGAGTCTGCCTCTAAGGAACGATTCCAATTCAGATCTCAGTTTCACTGCTTCTGATCGTGGACTAGAGAAATCGTATGCAAAGTGGATGTATTGGCAATTGAAAACATAAAGGAAAATCCCTGGCAATTTGTCATGGTAACCATCCGGACGTCCAGACTGGGTTCCAGACAGTCCAGAACAACATGTCCGGTGTCCAGTGTCCGGTCCTTGTGTCTGAATGGAGGTCCCCGGGGCAAAAAAAAAAAAAAAAAGGGGGGGCGGCCCAGGACGTTTTTTGGGTCCTGGCCGCCCCTTGAAAAATAACGGGGTGATTTTTCAGTGTCGTTTCACCCCACCGGACAGGGCCTTGAGATCCGGACACAAGACACTGCAGGTTTTGGGGCGGCGGGTTTCACACAGGCCCGAGCAATTTCAAAGCGGTCGTTTCGACGTGCCGCCTGGCGCCTGCCGCTGCTGCCCGTTGGAGAGAGAGAGAGAGAGAGAGAGAGAGAGAGAGAGAGAGAGAGAGAGCACTGACACTGCTGCCAGTCTGAAGACTCTGACGTTCTGAATTGAACTGAATAGTTCAAACTTTTAAGTTATATATGATATGAAGTTATGAACTTAAATTACTTAATTCAAAACTTCAACGTTAATCATACTTTTTCATTTTTATTTCTGTTTCTTTAGTCTTGTGCCTGCTTTGCACTGTTTGCAACTCTGCATGTCTGCTACGGTAGTTGAATGTGCTTGTTGATTTGCTGCAAGACAGGTGCTCTGCTGCCTGAACTACAAAGTGTGAAGCAGGTAAGTGCCCGCCAACAGCCCCC